TTTTATATTAATATTTCAATATCTAATAATTACATTGAGTTTTAATCAATCCAGAATGAAGTGATGTTAGACTCCATGAGAGAGAAACACCCCAAACACATGTTTCTCCATTTATAAGATTCAAATTTGAAATTTTGTTTAAAAAAAATAAATTTTTTTATTCAAATCAACAAATCGTTAATAACCTATAAATATTACGATCATCACTTTTGATGCTTAATCGTCTTCTATCCTCCTTATTTTGTATTCATCTTATTTTGCCTATTTCGTATGGTCATTCCCGAGGGTTTCTTCTGTATCCAACCTAGCTGATGATTTCTCTCAATGAGTTTGGTGCATACATTCTAATATTTTTATGATATGTGGTTGTGGGTCTAGAAACTTCTGGATAGGAATGAGTCTTGTGGCTGTGCAGCCATGAAGACAGGTGCCATACCATTTTATCGATGCATGGCATTTTCCGGTTGATAATTGATGCAAACAAGTTAACTAATGGGGTCATGGAATTATCGTGACAGTGTGTTTTTCAGCTTCAAAGCTATAAATAATTTTAATTTAATTTACATTTTATAATATTGGGTCTCGAGTACATGACTGCAGCCGTTGATGAGATCATGTGTAAGCCCTATAACCAGTGGCGGAGCCAGGGGTGCGAGGGGCGGCGCTCGCCCCCCTGAAATTTGAGAATCTTGCAAATTAACATAAGAAAAATTATCTAACCCCCTCTAAACTTTGAAAATTTTAGTATTTTCCCCCCCCAAAAAAAATTTCTGCTTCCGCCCCTGCCTATAACCACTCGTGTTTTCTGTTTGTTGGCTACAATTATGATTTATGACGCTGATGCTCTTAACTCTAAGCAGGGAGGGAGCCAGAAATTTGAGTTAGCAGGTGCAATTTTTTTATTTTTTTTAGTCATTTAGGTTTCTATTTTTTTTATCATTTTTTTCCATTGTATTAAACAACTTATGGCCTTTTGTTTAATTATTATATACTAGTGATAATTAAGTAGAATATACCCTGGAAATTAAAGGAAAAATAAGGCAATATTTAAATAAAACACAGTAATAATAAACTACACGGTCAGTTGATTAAAGAAAGAAAAGGACTCCTAACCACCTTCCACTATGGGTAACTGGAGATGCCAAGCTGCTGAGGTGGAAAGAGTGACACATTCTACTTTTAGTAACACAAATGATTGTCATTTTGTTTGCATACAGCGCCTAAAGTGATAGGAATAACAGTATTTTCCAACATTAAGGGTTAAATCCGGTTTAAACATGGTCTCATGTTCAAGTGCTGTCACAATCTATACTCTTAAGTCTCTATTCGCGTAATAACTCTTCACGACCTCTTAAAGGTTTTAAACTCAAGGGCCCATTAATAAATAGATGATAATTTAAAATTTATTTTTTCTTTTTCTATTAGAAGAAAAAGATTACCATTGTGACGCTAACTAGCATATTTATACCTTTCACATAATAAGGTATAGAGCAAATATAGTGATATTGAGACTTCTAATTGATGATTTAGATTTAAATTTTAATATAACCTAGTGAGTGGAGAGAAATTAGAGAAATAAAGAGTATTATTTCTATAATATATAGAGCTGCTTAAATCATAATCACTATAAAATGAATAGAACAATTAATACAATTAACGGCTAGTCTTTTCCTTGTCATGTAACATGAAGGATGAAGACAACATGCTACAAGAAAGAAATACTTAATCATATGCATTGCAATGTGAAACATCAAAAAATGGTCGGCTAAAATGCATGTAGGATTCATTTTCACCTACTAAACATTCTTCATATATATCAAAGAAAGTGACTTCCCTCCCAGAAAATTATTATGGATCGTTATTTTAGTTTGGAGTGTAGTTGGATCACAGGATCCCACGTGAAGGAAGAAAAATTTAGGACAAAATTTAAATGGAGCGTTTTCTTTACACTTCTAATTTGTTGGCAGCTCAGCCGTCCTTGTTGCTCCCAGTTATCATCAGGGTGTTCAGCCACAGAATTATGGACGGCTTCCGCGAATACAAGCATTTGTTTTCTTGTAACTTTGGTAAAGTAATTAAAAGATAGATTGAGATTTAAAAGTTTCTGTTCGAATCTTTTATCATGTTGAAATGATAGTATAATAAGAAATGTTGTAATGTTATGCGCAAGTGCAGATAGAGACAGAGTTTGGCTAAGTTTGATAATCTTCATGGTGCAAATTACACATTCCTCCTTCACATAAAAACAAAACAAGACCATGACTGAGCAGTGAGCACGCACTAAGAATGCTAGAAACCCCCAAATGCCAACCACTTAAGGAAGTAGCTAGAAAGGATTATTATCCCTTCATGCTGCAATGCTGAGGTATCATTCCAAACTCAACGAGCAGAGGAATTCCCATATCCTATCATGCTGCAGACACTCAGCATTTTCACATTTTTCTAATGGCCAAACTTCAACCAGCACCAAAGCACTATTTGATATGGTTAAAGAAGTAATCCCCTAAATAATTAAGCTCCATGGATAAGCCACAATCTGTGATGCAAATTCATCCTCAACACACTTGATTCCCTTGGAAGAGTGTTTCGAATTAAGAAGTCGTAGGAGTAGTAGTTTTTTGCAGCTGTTGCATCAGTGTGGTTGCACCCACAATTAAGCATTAGTTTTATAAAATATTGGTTGACAATATTGCATATGTAGGCAGAACCTTCAAATTCACCCTCAAAAAATATCGGTAAAGACACATCCACAAAAAAAGAAAGTAGAGAAAAATTGCTCCTGTAAATCATAAATCAATACAAATCACTCATTTTTTAACATTTTTCATTAAAAAATACTGATGTGACAAACAAAATTCTGATGTTTTTCGTTGGAAAAAAGATGATTTGTATTGATTTATGATTTAGAGGAATAATTTACCCTTGTTTTTCTTTGAATGGTGGATATGTTCTTACCGATATTACTGATATTTTTTTAGAATAGATTTGAGGGTTTTGCCGCATATGTATATGGTTCCCCTTATTCAAACCTGTTTCCACTTCTTTTGGGAACATCACTGGTGTTTTGATGTTATATTCCGATATGAGCATCATTATGCAGCACCAACTTGCATTAAGACTACTACCCAGCAAAGTTGACTTAAAATTGCCTTTTTGACAATTTGATTTAAATCAGCCCTCACGCGCCAGTTGAATAGCCAAGTGTCATTTGCTAGTTTGCTATCAATCCTAAGCTGCCACTCTCATACTTTAACAACAAAATCAAAACTATATTAAAGATGGGCTCAGAGTTCCAAACTTCTTCGACCATTCTAATTAATTTAACATATAAACATGTGAAATTCTCATTTGCTCGTTTTTTGATACATTAATGGGTAAACTATAGAATGAGAGATAGTTATAGACCTTTTCAAATTCTTCTTTATTAATTTTAAGATTTTAACATGATATTTCTTATTTATAATTCTAAATTTTTATCCACTGGCACACCCAAGAGGCTTCATTTCGCATTTTTCTAATTCACTAGGATCATCTAAATTAGAATAGCTATCAAATATCTAAGTAAATTGACTTATAGTCAGTTTTCAACACTGTTATAATTTATACCCAGCACTTATTTTTATCATGTTGGGCTTCTTTTCTGTGCATTTATTGGGCACAGTGTGCCTCATCAGGATCAATACCATGACTCTGTCTCTTGCTTTTGGGGTAATGAAATATGCAATTGAAGAACAATAAGGATTAAATGTTGAAAAGAGAAACTAATTCCATGTATTATACATATGCTGAACATTCTGATATTTACACCACATGAAGGAGAAGCGCGGAACAGAGGAATACAGAGGAAAACAGAGTGATACACTCTGGCACAATATCTTGTAACTATCTACTTTTTCATGCACACAAGTGAAAGAATAAGAAGAAACCAGCTGAGCTCCATTCTAGCTACATCCAAAAGCTACAAGCTGGTACCTCAAAACCTTTCGCTGCAAAAACAAGCAAAAAAAGAAAAAAAAGTTCCAAGAAAAAAAAATGGAACTAGAAACAGGGTTTGTTCATCTAAACAGAGGAAGAGATTCCGGGGATCATATATCCAAGCATCCCTCTGGTAAATCTCCTCTATGATATACCATCTATGAACGTGAAGATCACTTCACACCCATCCGCATTAGACCTGCTTCTGTAAATCCTTGGAAGTTATGAATGTTCCATGAAATCCATATGGGACACGAGAAGGAAGCTTAACGGTGGCCTCGAGCTTAACAGTTGTGGTGTTGATGATTTGGAGCTCCGATTTCCATGTCTTCTCATCGTGGACGAAGGCTAGAATATAGCCGTCGTCTTCTTTATCGGAATTGGGGTTAGGAAAAAACAGAGGTTCCCCACCGTACCTCTGTTCTCCATAGATATACTTCCTTACCTCCCCTGTTGTGAGGTCGACTTTCACAAATCCAGAGACTCTAGGCCACGGCTCGACGAGGGCTAAGTAGGCGTAACGGGTTTTCCGCCCGAGAAGGTTCCGGTTCACCATACCGGCTTCCAAGTTCACTTGCTCGGACTCTGCAATGATGGGGCGGCGCGTGGACTTTCCGGTCTGCAGATTGAGTCGGATTTCGGACAAGACACTCTTCAAGCCCTCCTGGCATTCATTGAAAATGGAATCTGCCGGGGTCATGCAGCAACCTATCACCACAACTTCATCGGTCTCTGGTTCCTCCCAAGCGTTCCAGAGATGGAAACAGAAGCAATCGGGCACGTCAATCCACTGAATACCGGAAGCATCAGTGGCATTCTTGTTCAAAACGCCGTATCTCGCCATCTTATTCTCGTCATAAACCACCGGTGAGCCACCTCGCAACATTTCCTCTAGCTTGAACACCACCTGCTGATCGGGAATCACCACGAAATTCTCTGTGATTGCGAAATCATGCATCATTGTTGGTTGATCAAGTTCAATTTCAACATCCGGGGATTTCTTACCGTCATGGGAAACCCGAAAGTACTTGAGATAAGGTTTTCGTATGACATCGTAGCTAAGAGAGAAGAATTCGCCGGATACGGGATCGACTTTGGGGTGAGCAATCATTGAATAATTGAGCTGACCGTCAAAATCGTACCTTCCCACCGTTTCCAGGTCGCCGGAGGGAGTGATGCTAACCTGGTAGGGTAAATCATCTTCAGACATAGCAAGGAGACGGCCATTGAAGTACACAACTCCGGCGTTGGCGACGCCGCTACCCTGACTAGGATCAACCAGCCCACAAACCCCACGAGTTTGGAAGAGGAGGAGTCTTGCTATACCGGAGTGGCCATGGAGCTCGCCGATTGACTTGGGGAAAACAGGGCGACCCAGAGCTCGTTCCTGAACAAGACGGTTAGTCTGAGTTAACCTGCAGGCATAGCTAGCCGACCCATTGTCGAACTGAACAGCATGAACCATCCCGTCACCATCAAATAAGTGGTGGCCGGCCACCGGTTCATGAAGTGGATTGGCTCCGTTTCGGACATAGACACCTTGGATGCATTCGGGTATTTTTCCGGTTACCGGTAGTCTTCGCTGGACTGGTTGTTCTGGTACGGGAGCGAAATTCCCTTCTAATTGCACTATTGGGTCAGCTGTTTTTGGTAAAGGGCGTTTACTCTCATAAGTGAATAAAGCACTCTCCATTGAATCCAAAGCCAAAGCTGCTATTCTTTGTAGGAGATTCCATTCTTGGGCTGGAGCTGTGTCTTTCTTTGGGCATTTTATGATGGGAGCAACGGTGGTGGTGGTGATGGTTGACGGTGGATAAGACGGTGATTGTTTAGGTCGATGAAGAATGGAAGGAGTTTGCAGAGAGCAAGAAATGTTGGGTTGTTTTTTACTCCTCCTATTCAATCGAGGCTTAACCCAATTGGTTGAAGTTGCGTTTGCTGCTGCCACAGAAGCCATAGTTGTTTTCTTTTGGCAAAAATAGACAGTCCCACGAGTAGTTGGGTAGTTTGGCGCAAGAAGTGAAGCTTGATTGGCCTGTAAAGAGCAAGTTCACCTCGGATTAGATGCTTGGTTTTGGAAGGGAAAGGGAATGAAAAGGCTACGGGGAAGAGCGGAGTGTGAATCTTGTTGCAAGGGAGAGAGAGAGGGAAAGGGTATATATAGTGAAAGGATGTCATCCTAACGCCCCTAAGCGAAGCCCACGTGTTACATTGCCAGTATAGAAGAAAAGCGGACTTCAAAAGGATTGGCATTTTGACAATTCGGGTGTGGGGGATAGCTGCTTCACCATTTGACACGATTCCTCTGTCGTCATTTTCCTCTCCTTCCTCCCCATTTCTTATTTTTCATTATTTTTTTTCTATAAACGCAAGATAATATTAAGTCATGGAGCATTCAATGTTTAGAGGAAGAGGTAAGTGCTCTCATATGGCTCACTTAACTGTGAAAGAGAGTTCAGGTTCCAACTTAACATGTTTTAAAAATAAAATTATGCAAATGATAGATATAATAATTATAATTTAAATTTAAAATTTAAGACTTTAAATTGCTTAATTATAAAAATAAAAAGAAAGTTGCTAAAAATAATTTGTTATTTTGGGTATTGGGGCATTTAGTAGGGATGGTGCAAAATACGTACGACTAACCGCGCGTTCTTGCCTCTTTGGTTACACGTGGCCTCTTTTCTGTGTGGGTTTCGAACCCCGAAAATCTAGGTCACATCAATTGCCCCACGCGCTTGCCGCCAGCATCATTTCTTTCATGTCTCAAACCGAAAAAACACTCAACTTCATTGGTATTTTATGATGCTTACTAAATGTTTGGTGATATGCTTCTAAGAACACCGCTATATAGTAAAGGAAAGAAATATCATCCCTTGGAGATGTTCAAAGGTCCCTAATTCCAAGTTTTTTCAATTAGATTTGAACATCAATTTTACTAAGAACTCAATTACAGATCATCTGTTGTAAGAGATTGCAGACAATAATTTATTTTGTAAAAATCAATCTAGAAGATAAGAACAATATAAAGCCTTACATCTAGTCTCTAGGTAAAAGTTGGTGTCGTATCTTGTCATTAACCATCAACAAGAACTTCTTGTCTAGCTAGCTATATGTTTATTGGATCGTTCCCCCAACAAAA